GAGCTGAGGGACAGCACCCAGGCCCAGAGTTCAGGCCCCACGACCGGACCCAAAAAACAAAACAAAAAAACCCTCCTTTGAATAACTATTCCTAGGTATCCTCCCAAAATAGAAACAGGAACTCAAATACTGCAAATGTACCTTGTAGCATTACTTACCATAGCCCAAAGATGGAAATAGCCCATATGCCCATCAATGAATGAATTTTTTTAAATTTTATTTTATTGTAAAGATGCTGTACAGAGTAAGGTAATATGTACTTTTCTTGTCGAACATTGTTAACCCCTCCTTTGTTGTTCTCCCACTATCTCTTCCCTCCCCACTCCCTCAGTCCTCCCTGCCACCCCCCCCCAAAGTTGTAAAGTTCATTTCCAATACAGTATCTTATGAGTACCATTGTTGCAATGGGTCATCCTGTGTCCTTTGTTATTCCCCTTCCCCTCCCCAAATTAGATAAATGAATATACAAGATGCAGGGTATCAAAATCAAGTACAATGACAACAGAGGATATAACATAGTGGGGGAAACAAAAGAAACAAAAAAATCACTTAGTACATTAAAAACAACAACAACAAAGACCTCTGTGTCCAAATCTTGGGGTTCATTTCACTTAGCATTATCTTATATGGTCATATGTACCTAGCTTTTGAGCTTTTCTGATCATCTGATAAAATTATCCTAGATGTATACTAATTATTGCAAATGAAGGAAACCATGGGACCTATATTTCTTTGGGTCTGGCTTACTTCACTTAATATGATTTTTTCCAAGTCTTTCCATTTCCTAACAAATGGGGCAGTGTCATTCTTTCTGATGGAAGCATAGAATTCCATATATCACATTTTCTTGATCCATTCATCTACTGAGGGCATCTGGGTTGGATCCATATCTTAGCTGTGATAAACATACTTGTGCTGGTAGCTTTAGTGTGGCCTTTTTGTGATCATTATGCCCAGAAGTGGGATTGCTGGGTCATAGGAGAGCTCTATGTGTAGCCTTTTGAGGAACCTCCATACTGCTTTCCAGAGTGGTTGAACAAGTTTATACTCAACCAATAGTGTAGTAGCATTCCCCTTTGGCCACATCCCCTCCAGCATCTGTTATTATTAGATTTCTTGATTATAGCCATTCTAACTGGAGTGAGGTGGAATCTCAATGTTGTTTTGATTTGCATTTCTTTTATAGCCAGAGAAGTTGAACAAATGAATGAATTTTTTAAAGTGGTACATAACACAATGAATATGATTTGACTATAAAATGTAATGAAGTTTGGGATTAGGGGCATGGCTCACGTGGTAGAACTCTTGTTTAGCAACTATGAGACCCTAAATTCAAACTTCACTGCCACAAAAAAGTGAGGAAGTTTAATAAATGCTACAACATGTATGAAACTTTAATATATTATATTAAGTGAAATAGGCAAGGCAATAAAAGACAAAAGTGCTAGTTATATGAAATATCTAGAATAAGAAAATCCATAGAGACACAAAGTAGAATACAGATCTCTAGGAGTTGGGGATAGGAAAGTATAGGAAGTTTCATTTGGAGTACTTTAAAAGCATTGAGGGGGGGATGTAGCTCAGTGGTATAGCACTTGCCTATCATGTTTGAGGCTGTGGGTTTGATCCCCAGCACCACAAAATTAAACAAAATAAAAAAAACAAAGTATTGCACATTATAGTGGTAATCTAGGTTTATTCCTGTAATCCCAGCTACTTGGGAGGCAGATTGGGAACACTGAAGTTTGAAGACAACCTGGGGCATAGTGAGATTCTATTGAACATAGTGATGCATGCTTGTGATACCAACTACTTAGAAGACATAGGTCAGAGGATCACAGTCCCAGGTCCTATCCAACATAATTTTAAAAAAATGTCTTGGGGTATATGGCTCAAGTGGTAGAGTTCAAATCTCAGTACTACCAAGTAGAAAGGAGGAACTGGATGGAATAGCTGCGGGATGAGGACCGGGGATGGGACTATGGAGGACAGAACTAGAGAAGAGTGAGTGGGAAGGGGAGGGGAGGGCAAAGGGGATATACAGAGGTAACAGTTGCACATTATGTATGTAATTAGTGCTTAGATTTTACACTTAAAAAACAGTAAAACAAAAAACACTCCCTGCTAACTCTTTGCTATATTTTCTTACCAATAGGTTACTGCCATGACAGAAATGGACAGAGTATGCCAGTCTGTGAGGTGAGTGGGTAAAGCCTGCTAGAAATCATGTAGGAACGGAGAGAGACTGAGCTCAAAAACTTAACTGAGGCATCAGAAAACATTATGTAAATGGATTATATTAGAATAGCTTCTATCTCTCTGTCTCTTTCCTTCCTTCTCTCCTCCTCCCTCCAAGCTGGCCTCAAACTCATGAGCCTCCTACCTCAGCTTCTAAGTGCTGGGAATTCAGGCATGCACCATGACATATAATGGCTTAATTTTCTTTATAAAATAATCTGTGCTATTCTTGATCTAACCAATGATTGGAAAAATGATTTCTTTGTCCATCCAATGATTGGGTAAAGATAATTTGATACATATACACAATGGAGTATTATTCAGCTATAAAGAATTATGTCACTTTTCAGGAAAATGGATGAAATCGAAGATCACCATATTAAGAAAAGCCAAACTCAGAAAGATGAGCACCACATGTTTTCACTCATATGCAAAATATAGACCTAATAAACTTAATAATATGAAATGGTTGTGAGAGGTGACTGATTTGGGGGAACAAGTGGGTGGGAAGGATAAGGAGATGGTAATGGGGGTGAGCATTATAAAAGTACATTATGTATATATGTGTGTATGAAAATAACACAGTGAAACTCACCAAAAGCTGTTTAAAAGGAACCGGGAATAGGGATGGCAGTTCTAAAAGCGTAATAATAGGTAGGGTGAATTTAATCAAAGTAAACTATATTCATGTTGTAAATATCACAATGAAACACTTTGTACAATGTGATACTAATAATCTTTCTTTGTCTCACACATTACAATTATTTTTCCATTTGTCAGTTTTTTAAATTAATTTCTTTCTGTGAGCCAGATACCAGTGGCTCATGCCTATAATCTTAGCTACTCAGGAGGCTGAGATCTGAAGATCATGGTTCAAAGCCAACCCTAGCAAGAAAGTCTATGAGACTGTTGTCTCCAGTTAACTAGCAAAAATCTGGAAGTGAAGCTATGACTCAAGTGGTGGAGCTCTAGCCTTCAGCAAGAAAAGCTCTGGGACAGTGAATAGGTCTTGAGTTTAAGCCCTAAGATGGGTACCAAAAATAGTGATGATGATTTCCTTCTGTGTAGAAAATTTACATTTATGTAATCCAGTCTGTCAATCTTTTTCCTCTGTTTAACTTCAAGATTTGTGACATACTCAACAGTCATTGTCTAGACAACTACAAATTTTTCTTCCTGTTCACTCTCTTCTACTATTTTTGCCAGTGCTGGACCTCATCTTTTGTTTATGGAGTAGAGTTTAATCTCCCCCTAGTGAACCATAATTCTTCTAACAACATTACATCTAGATGAGAGTTAGAAAAAAACAGCATAGCTCACTAAAATTCCCCTTTTCCCAACATAGCACCAAGAAGGACAATTATGTTTACACTTGAATACTAGGACTCAGCCTAAGTAGAGGAACAATGAAGAACTAGAGAAAGACCCTTGAAAATTTTTTTTTGCTAGTCCTAGGGCTTAAACTCAGGGCCTGAGCACAGTCCTTGAGCTTCTTTGTGCTCAAGGCTAGTGCTCTATCACTTGAGCTCATAGCCCTACTTCTGGCTTTGTCAAGTATTTATTAGAGATAAAAGTCTCACTGCAATGATCAGATTTCAGCCTCCTGAGTAGCTAGGATTATAGGTATGAGCCACCATCACCCTGTTTGAGAATTCTTTGTGTGTGTATACTGGTCCTAGGGCTTGAACCCAGGACCCGGGTCCTCTCCCTAAGTTTTTTTTACCCAAGGCTAGCACTCTACCACTTAAGCCACAACTCTATTTCCAGCATTTTGGAAGTCTCAAGGACTTTCTTGCCTTGGCTGGCTTACAACTATGATCCTCAGATCTCAGCCTTCTGAGTTTCTAGGATTATAGCATGAGCAAGAATTCTGGTATAGGCTGAATACATTTGTTAATAGCATCATACTCTAGGGTTGGTATAAGAAAATCTCAGTCCAGTATTCACTCATGGTAGCCACAAGCAGCCTAAAATGACAGTCAATGTATGTAGGAGCCAAGGTTATGGTAAGGCAAATGAATTTTAAGTTCACAGTCTGAGGCAAGAATTCAAATAGGAACATAAGCAAGACAGTAACTATGAGAGTTAGAGTCAGGAAGAATCAGGTATGCTGACAAGTCAAGCACAATTAAGTCTACAGACAAGCATGTATTTGAGCATAATGTCATGTAGCATTGCCTCTGTCTTGCAATATTCCTATCTAGCTCTACCCCCCCCCACACCTTTTTCTCTGGGGGATATAGTGCCAACCAACAAATGCCACCATGTCTGGTATGTATTTCCTTATCAACTCCCAAAATCAGGTAGTAAACAGTCATAAACAACAGTTTACCTAGCCACTACTTCCTAATAAGAAATAGTTACCTCTCAAATATTCAGGTTTAATTATCAGATAGGACTCTAGATATGGAAGAGTAGAATTTCAGGATTACCATTAATCATCCAGACTAGCTGAGGTGAAAAGGAGGCAAGAAGGTTCTTCCAAACCATGCAGAGATTGTTTCATGTAGGAAGGATCTTTTCTGGCAAAAAATGAATGGACTGTCCTGTCATAGCTGCAGGTATCTTAGAAATTAGCAGTGTCTTTGCCATTTATATTGCTCTTTCTCTTCTCATCCTCCTTAGAGCTCTCATCATATTCCAGAAATACCCCAAGTTCACTTTCTACAAAAAGTTCACCTATTACTAAGAACTTTGTTCTGCCTTATATGTTCCAGGAAGACAAGGTTGATTTCTCCTACAATGAACTGGCAGACCCTAAATTTTCATTTTATGACAAGACTTTGGTGGAAGCAGTAAAAAGTGGAGATCACTGGGTGCACCTGTTTTTCCTCACCCTTTCATTATGTCACACTGTGATATCAGAAGAGAAAGTGGAAGGTGAGGAAGAACCCTTGTGATGGACTGAGAATTATCCTAAGGTCTAGGCTATTTGGAGGTGGGGATGATTTTATATTATTGCAATGGCTTAATCTAAGGGGAAAAAACCTTTGCAATAGGAGCACTGTCCTTCTGAGAATTAATTGATAGGCAGCAAGCATAAAGGCATTCAAGTAGAAAATAACTTCTTGAGTCATCCTCTTGTTAAACAATTTGAAGGTTTCCTCACACTTCTTAGTTTCCTTAGTAATCAGGTGTGATAAAAATCATCCAGCAATTTACCCAAACTTTAAAATAATGAATTTACCAGCAAATGCTAGAAGTAGAGGTGTGGCTCAAATGGTAGAGCCACTTGAACAAAAAGGCCAGGTGAAGTGAAGCTCTGAGTTCAAACCTTAGTACTAAAAAACAAAACATTTTTTTAAAACTTTTTTCCTGGCAGTATTAGAGTTTGAACTCAGAGCCTTATATTGAAAAGCAGTTACTTTACCACTTAAGCTACATCTACAACCCTTTGTGTTCATTATTTTTTGAATAGATTCTTGGCTTTTGCTTGGACTAGCTTAACCACAATCCTCCTATTTATGCTGCTGGTATAGTTGGGATAACCAATGTACACCACTGTACCAGCTTTTTATTGGACATGGGATCTCATAAACTTTTTTTCCGGTCTGACCTCAAACTTATACTAATCTCAGCCTCCTGAATAGCTAGGATTACAGGCAAGAGACATCCAGTGTCACTTTAAGTCAGTGCTCATAACATTACCTTCAATGCCATATATTTGTGTATCACTTCACAGTTTTACAAATTGGTTCCATTTATATTATCTTCTACAATCTTCACAACAGCCCTCTGAGATAGAGGACAGGAAAAATGATCCTAGTATTAGAGAATGGAACAGAAGTTAAAAAGTGATTAAGTTACCTGTCTAAAACACGATAGTAAAGAAAGGCAGAGATAAAAACCTAAATCTCATGTTTCCTGGACCTGTGAGCTCCCATACCATCACATGTTCCTCTGGCTCTGCCCTCCCAAGAAGCTACTATTGTTTGAAGCATATCTGTCCTTGTTTTTATTTATACACAAGAAAGTGGTCTCAATTGTCAAGTAGATCCATCTTATTTATGTCTGATGTAAAAATATATTCACCTGCCTATTCACAAGTATAAGATTTTAATAATGCCTAATTTTTAAAAATCAAATTAATCTTCAGAAGAGAAATAATCTGAAATATGCCTCTGGTTATGATAATATCTTAACATAGGAGTTCCAGAAAATGTTGAATTTTTGAGTAATAGCAGATGAAAGTCATTTAGTTTCCTAGGATGAATTAAAGGTGATAACACTTGTGTGTGTGTGTGTGTGTGTGTGTGTGAGAGAGAGAGAGAGAGAGAGAGAGAGAGAGAGAGAGAGTTGAGTATAATATGGAGACAGAGATAGGTATGTATAGTATTTTACCAAAGTGTGGTTGATCATATGCAGAAGTACCTTATGCCACATATGTATGAAAATCACCCAAGAGATTTGTTAAAAATTCAATTTCCTATGTCATGCTTGCAGACTTTGTGATTCTGGATTCACTAAGTTTGAGTAAGGCCCAAAGAATCTACATTTTTAGCAAGCTCTCTGTGTCATCTGTGTGTGTGTGTGTGTGTGTGTGTGTGTGTGTGTGTGTCCTGGGGCTTGAACTCAGGGTCTGGGTACTGTCCCTGAGCTTTTTTGCTCAAGGCTAGCACTTTACCACTTGAGCCACAGCTCTACTTCTGGCTTTTTTCTAGTTAATTGGAGATAAGAGTCTCACTAACTTGCCTGCCCAGTCTGGCTTCAAACCACAGTCCTCACATCTCAGCCTCTAGAGTAGCTAAGATTACAAGCATGAACTACTGGCACCTGACTCTCTGGGCCATCTTTATGCACTGACATTGAAAAGTAACTGCTTATGTTTTGTTTTGTATGTACCCATTGCATGGTACCATTTAGCACAGTCATAGTGACTCAGGTGTGTGAAATAAGTTGAAAAGATTGGAAATGAAAAAAAGACTGACATGTTCTATGCAACCTGACCTTTTAGGGCCAGACTTGTGAGGACATTTTGAAGGAGGATATCTTCTTCTGGGTCCATCTTTATGTAGCCCACTTGAAGATGGTGTCATTTCTGGGTGGACTTCAGCTTCTCATCTCTGCGAGCTCTAGTTGCCCTCTTCTCTCCTGTCAGGTATGCTGGTGTACCAGGCTCAGTCACCAGATGAAGGTGCCTTGGTCACTGCTGCCAGAAACTTTGGCTTTGTGTTCCGTTCCCGCACATCTGAGACAATCACCATAGTCGAAATGGGAGAAACCAAAGTTTACCAGCTGCTGGCTATTTTGGACTTCAGCAATGTGCGCAAGAGGATGTCTGTAATTGGTGGGTGCCCCTCCCAGTCAGCCTTCCGGCCTTTACACACTCCTGCACATTAACTTTCTCTTTACTCACAGATGCTTTTCCCCACTCACATACCTTCTTAGAGACACTATGCCTCAAATACAAATGTAGCCAGTCCCACTTCCTCTCTCATCTTTAATTTTCTTCCACATACATATCAGGGCTTGCTGCCATATACCAAGTCTCTTCTCTGATGTTATGAGGTAATGGCCTATCAACACCCTCAAAACCAAGATGAGGACAGGAACTAAATTTATAAAGCCTCAGTATGGAGTAAGAGATGAGAGCAAATAATATAGTCTGACAGTCTGTTCTCCTTATTTACAGGTTCATGGATTCAGTCAACCATGTATCAAAATATTGTGGCGGGGGCAGGGGGAGTTGTGGCCAGGTGCTAGTGGCTCATGCCTGTAATCCTAGCTACTCAGGAGTAGCTGATATCTGAGGATCGCTGTTCAAAGCCACCCAGGCAAGAAAACTGTGAGACTCTTATCTCCAATAAAAAGCTACCAAAAGCCAGAAGTGTCTCAAGCAGTAGAGCACTAGCCTTGAGCATAAAAGCTCAGGGACAGCACCCAGACTCTGAGTTCAAACTTTAATACTGGAACGCACAATTATGTCTAAGGATGTAGTTCAGTAGTAGGGTATATGCTTAGCATATACAAAAACCTGGGTTCATTAGGTGATACGACAAAACTAACAGGACTTAAGAAACAAAGAACTCCCACTCATCTGGTTGAACCACTACTAAATATCCCCATGCTGCTGATCACAT